TGCACGGTGTCTGACGTACAATCCCGTGCCAATAAGTAAATGAAAAAAGCACGGGTTGTTACATAAGACCCGTGCAACAAAAGCAAACTACTATCTTAAATGCCGTAATCTTTGAGGAAAATCAAAAATTTTAGGTGTTGTTCATAAAAACCATTATTTTAACATTTTGATTATTAAGATCTGTTAATTCCTATTAATTTGATTGGAAGAGATGATGAAATTTGGGACACTCAATAGTATTTAATTTCTTAATGTTAAACATATCCGAAAAATTTACAGTATTCGAAAAAATTTTCCTTTATCAAAAAAATAGATATATTGACCCTTTCAAAACATGTATATCAGAGACATAACTGATATATATCGGCTACAATCTGATTTCTTTGGCAAAAAATATCAGAAGCATATCAGGTAATAAACAAAAATTTTGGGTACTCTTATATTTATTTTCTACTTGATATGTTTTTGATATTTTTTAATATACAGTACATGCATTTAGAGAACAATAAGAAATTGCATCTATAGAGACAAAACATATACCAAACATATACTTGGGCCCGAAGTTAGAGTTACATTTAGAGAGAAGAGGGTTGTACCTAGAGAGAGTTGACTGTATTGCCAATATAGATCAGATTTTTTGGTATCAGTAGTTGGCTATCGGGTACCCTATATACATGCTTTGGACCTGTGTACTTTCTTTACCTTTATATTATCTCTGTTAGTCGCGATCACGTCACCGAGTCAAATGTTAAACGTATTACACCATGTACGCACGTGACACAGGGACACGGAAATTTTTCGAAAGCAATTTTTCAAAAGAAATCAAAAATTTTTTGGCAAAATCGAAAATTTTTTTTGTACCAAGTTATATATTACATGAGAGATCAAGACAAATATTATCATATGATTAACATTCATAGTAAGCCCGGAATCCGAAATAAACACGTGATCTTCCTAATTCCAGTCAGAATCACTAGCTTGAAGCTCAATTCTAGCCAAAATCGAAATAAATCGAAATTTTTACCTTAAATCGAAATAATATTTCCGTATCTGGTGACGCGGTAATGTATTGATGTTTGCATTTACCAGTATTATAGTAGTGATACGGGCGGCCCCTGCCCAATGGCCGGGTCGACTCTCAGGATCTTGGGCAAAGTTTACCCATCCGACTAGGAATTTTGGGAATTGCCCTTTATGAGTCGTTTGAATTGATTCTTTTCTAAAGCATATTTCAGGCTGAGATTAACTAAAACCGATTTTGGGTCAAAATCCCGAATAACAGATTATCGAAATAACATAACACTTACTAAATTGGCCAGCATTATAGCTAGTGCTGGCTAACTTTGTCAGTATTATGTTCTTTCGGGAATCTGTTTTTTTTGGATTTTGACCCAAATTCCTAAAAATCAGCTAATGTTTATAACGATGTAGATATTCATTAATTGGCTAATTTAAATGATAAAATTGGTAAATAACGAATATAAAATATGGTAAGGAACGGAAATTCGAGTATGTTCGGGTGTATAATTAATAAATACCAACATGTTGTCCTTTTAATGATAGACTTTTTCAGGCAAATTTGCCTGCCCAATAATACATTTACCCGTTAATGTAACATTTTAAATGATCTAATCAAATCATGGACTGCCGTTTAGAATTGTCGGATATCAGAACTTTAAATCAAATCAATTTAATCTGACATATAAATGACACACTCGGTTAACAACTCGTAGTTTTACTTTTACTGGATTATTTCGCCACGTTAAAAGAAAATAAAGGCGGAGCCCTGTTAGAAATAGTTAAAAGGGTATTGGTTAAAAACTCTTGATAATGCCTGTCCGGTAATAAGATTATTATTATTTATGGATTCAGTTCGAAATCCCGAAGAACTAAATCGCAATGCTCAACACTTAAATCCCGAAGGAACAATATTCTGACAATTCATTAACCTGAAAGCTAAATCCTGAATAATTATAACTCTGAAGAATCACAATCTCGTAAGTACATAATCCCGAATGTAATAATCCCAAATATAATAATTCCGAGCGTAAAATGTATATCAAATATAGTTCATGAAATGTTATTATTCAGGATATTTACGAGAATGTGAATTGCATAAATTAGTATAGTATACAATATTATACGGAATATATATTATTTATTGAAAACTTTACATTACAGCATTAAGTATAAAATTTTAAAATTATATTATACATTCCATATAATTTTGATAAAAAACATTAAACACTTAGTATAACTTGATTAATAAGGGATATTAACACTACACAGAAATCTGGGAATCAGAAATAATTAATTTTTATTCTAACATTGTTTATGGGTTTTTAATAACGACTTAGTTAATTTAAATGTTTAAGGCTGTTTACAAATCCCATTGATTTATAGAATTCGAAAATGGCTTCGTTCAAATTTTGAAAATGCTGTTAAAAAAAGAAGCTAGAAATTTAATTTTTATTGTTTGATTAACAAAACAAGAGATCTGATATTATACTAGAAAATTATGTTTGGTGACATGTAAAAAATAGGGATTTGAAGGAATTTTGTAGATAGTTTTGAAAAGCGCATTAAAAAAAATTATGCATAAATGGAATCGAGCAAAAGTATTTTGTGCTTGGATTCTAAATTGCATAAATTGTGAAGGAATTCTACAGTCCACACCCGCAATAGTCACACCCGAAATAATCACAATTTATTGAGACTATATCTGATATACCAATCATTTATAGTAATATAAAAATCAACTCTCGCTATAATCACATGATGTGACTATTATTATGTTTCTCTCGTTATAGTCACATTAATTTTCTGCCAGACAGTGTGACCATAGCGAGAGTAGACTGTAAATCAATTAAGGCAATTAAGATTTTTTAGGGCTTAATCTTTCTCCATAAGCAAGAGGCATTACAGATTTAATTAATTTCTTTATTCCAACGATCTTTAGCGGTTTCGATAGTTGTATTAATGAATCTTGAAGAAAATTTAATACGGAAATCATAATATTCTTGTATAATAAGGGATTTCGACGTCCATTAACAGATTGCATTACGAGATAAGATGGATGTTCTTGCAGCTCAGTCGTTTTATCCACTATAGATGGAGTCGGAACCACAGCAGTTATACATAATGTATAAAACATGATTCAAATTATACATTATGTAAATAAATGCTATAAAAAATATTTACTATACCACAGCATGCAATCGGTAATCCACTTATTTATATTAAGTATAAACAAATTTTTTAGAAAATATATTAAGATTATTTAACGAACCTTTTTTTTTTTTAAAAAAAAATTATCTAATAAATTTATAATTTATTCCATAACCCTTTTATAGATAGATAATCGAAAAAGTTATTTAAAAAATTTTTAAACAGATAAACTAGATCTATATTTTTTTTTATGTAAGAAAGCAATTTTAATGAGCTTGAAGGTTTTATTTTTGATTATGAAGACGATATGGAAACTTTAATGAACTTTATTTTAGTATAAAATTAACTAATGCTTTTTGAACTATAATAAGTTGATATTTTACATTAAAAGTCGAACTAAGTTACAATTGATGAAAAATGCAAATTTTACATTGGTTATCTTTAATTATTTAAAAATTGCGAAAGTATCTTTCTTACATACTTTACATCATAAAAACCTTGATTTATTAAAAGTATTTCAGTAGTATTAAATTGAGAGAATATTATTTGCTAATATTAATGCCAAAATATTTGATATATGTAATAGTCTCGGCATCATTAATAGCTAACATCCCTACAAGTATGATCCTCTTTATACTCATAAGTATGATAAGTCTGATAATTAAATATACGTATGAACATAAAAAAATTTTTCTACGCTTCTATTTTTATTTTCATATTATATGTATTTCTTTATCTATTACTCTGATTCTTCGGGATTATAACTATTTTGGAATTTTTTTTTTTTCAGGATTTAGCTTTAAGGTTAATGAATTGTCAGAATATTGTTCTTTCGGGATTTAAGTGTCGGGATTTAGTCCATCGGGATTTAGTTCTTCGGGATCTAAACGACTTTGATTATTTATGTAAGCTGTACTACGAAACCAATTTTGATCAAAAATTTACAGGCAAATTTGCCTGCAAATCTGTTAAAAGGATAGTTTCTCAAAGGTAAAAAAGAACTAAATAATTTAGTACCATTAATATTTGGCAAGGAACTACCCAGTAGCTTTTTACACGTTTGATTTAGATATGAAACCTAATTCTGTAATTCTGATCAGAAAAACTACTAGAAAAAGGTCGGCCCGGTCGACCGGTCCGAGCTTTTTTAGGATCATCGGCCCACATCACTAGCATTTATACTAATACGTAAAAGTTGAGTTAATTGGACGCCTGGGCATATAACTTTATATTGCATGCCCAAATCAAATCAAATAATTGGATGTATGTATGTATAAAGTCTTTGACATGCTTACAATTGTTTAGATATAGAGATATCAAAATGGAGGAACAATTGATTTTATGAGAATAATAATACCTAAGGCTAAAAATTTCAGACATTGATATCCATAAATTTTCACACAAAATATTTGTGAATCACGAATCAGGAGGAGTTGGTTCATGAACCTAAATCAGCGTAAATTAAATTTATCAATTATATATATATATATTGTTATTGTAAAAAATAAATTTATTACTTACAACATTGGCGATTTCCAACCAATCTAGGGAGCTTAACAATCTGTTATTTGATGGTAGAGGAACGGTGTTATGTTCCCATACCATGAATGAATGAAATTTATGAGAAGTTTCCCAACTTCGTGTTTCTTCAATTTCCTCGTTTGTTGTTAATGAACTAGGTTTATTGAGTGTATGTGATGATTCTTTAAATATGCAACCTAGCAAAATTAATAAAATACATTTAGACAAAAGCAAATTTATTTTATGTACGCGTTTTTTTTTTATAATAAAATACCTTCATGTTTGTCGTCCAACATGACGCGTCTGCCTATAAGACGACGCCCGCGGAAAAATGCTTCGTAAAGAGTTTCTAATTGATAAATCAGTTTAAACAGGTTAGTTTAATATATGTAACATTAATAATAAAAATCATATTTAGACAAATAGTTTTAAATGCACACCGATTGGCCCAAAATTCGGTTGATTTGTATCCATTAAATCATACATATTTTGGTTCGTTTTTTTATCTAAGTCGTTTACCAGGAAATAATTTTCGATACTGGCTCTTCCATTATGATTAATGCTGCAAGGTAGTTGATGAATTTGTATTTCTGAGTTACTTGGATTTGTTTCTTGACCTGAAGGAATTTCGTTCGAAGAAGATTGATCCGGAAAGATATTTATTTCCATAATGAAATGGTCGAGAAAGAAAACCGTTAAACAATGTCAATGCATAAATGCGGAAATGTAAATCGCATATAAATCATCCGAATATGTTATACTGTACCCGGAGGAATACATTGCAGAGATGAATGGTATTACTTATTTCACATGAGTTAATTCTCAATTTTTATTGGTTAACATTAGCTTAAGTAGAAGTTCCGATCCGAATCGGATGATTGTTATATATATTTTAACCCTGGTATAGAACCGGGCTATTATATAACGTACTTTTAGAATTTCAATCTTTTGCCTATACGTAATGTTATACAATACATTTAACAGATATCCGTCAAGAGAATAACAGATACCTTTCCGAAGTTTTAGCCTAAGTCAAAGATTCAGATATTCAAATCTCATCACTACCTTAATTACATTTTTTAGTGTTTTAAACTATATTTGTGCTTCAATCTTTCTGGATTTTTATTTTTTTGTCAAATCGAAGATAACGATTTACACTAGATTTTATCATTTGCTTGCGAACTTTTAGCAAAGAAAGATGTTAGTGGTTTCATTCCTTTTTTATTAGCTTTAGCCAAAGATGCTTGCCCGACTGTTAATTTACGTTTCTTTATTAAATAGGAAATGTTTGTTAATATACACCAACTAAAGGTAATTTAACGAATATCATTTGTGATAGTCACCTTTACAGTCGAACTGGTATCTTTTTCAACAGGTTGTTTCACACGATAATCAGTAGAAATTGCCGACATGTATACGACAGTATTATTATCCCATGTGCCAAGTTCTTCAAAACTAATTCAAAGATAGGTAAGCGTAAATTTAATTTAATCGAAGAAATCAATACTCACTTGTATTCTTTTTTCAATTGCTCGGCCCAATAATTTGGTAGATATTCCATAACAATTTCTAACGTGTATTTTAATCGAAGATCTGTTTATTTATTAGTCACTCTTTAGTAAATATGTTTCAAATGATTAATAAAAAATAATATTTAACATTTACCATGTCGATGTTCTTCGTCGACTATCTCATCATCCAATTGTTGGCTGATTTTTTTAAAAGATTTATATTTATCATTATCAAATTTGGATAAGGTGTTTGTAACCTAACAGCATAAAATAATAATATTCACATTTAAATTAAACATAATTTTGCAAGATTAAGAGTTATCATCATCCTAATACCTTTTTTTTTAACCAATTCATTACTTTTTCGTCATTCAATCTATAAACTTTGTTGTCCAATAATTCTAAATCATAATAAAATTGTATAGATGGATATTTGTCACATACAAATATACCAATGAAATTAAGATATACTAACCTTTACTATCGCAAATCCAATCCATATATAATTGGATGTTACTTATCGAAGATAATCGCGT